TCATAGTGAAACGAGTCACTTTCTCAATAACAAATCAATGTGTTTTGTGCTGTTTTCATAGGTGGTCGTAGGAAAAATCATTTTCCAACTATTTTTGAAAATTATTGTTCTCCAACTCTATCATGTGACACTACTGGAGAGTAGGCCCTGCTACAGGGCCTAATTTGGACAGGAATATGAAATAATTGAGTTTACCGACTCAATATCTCAATAGATATACTATAGATATATCGGGGGATTCAGTCAATCGGGTTTCAAAAATATTTACTTATATATATAATATACAATACTGTCGATGAATTTTTCAGTAATTTTCCAATTTATGTATTGAATTCCATTGCAATGGATTGATAAAAAGTATTGAGCTCGGTTCTATTCTCAGTATCACCCCTTATACCGTCGGTATTTAGAGCAAATTGGATAATTATTAAGCTCGGTTTATTGTGTTTGACCAACAAAAACAATTATTACTGAATAATGTATCTTATTTGCACATGAAATTATTCATATGTTGATTGTGGATTTAGCTGGTGGAATTTTTCAGATCCAAAAGAAAATTAGTACTTTTCTTCAACTCGATATCACACGATAAAAGATTTCCATGACAAGGATAGGCATGTAAATATACAGAGTGTATAGATTTCGAATAATTTACTAAAATATTCATGACATTTATGGTAACATCATTCTTCATCCTAATTTTCAAAAATGATTTGACATCTGACAGACATCTGATGACACAAACCTCATTGTGTTAACATTTCACATAAAATCATCTCCCATGAAATGTCGAATTTCAAGCAATGACAGCTCTCTCTAATAAATGAGCATTACTCAAGAACTAATCCGATGGCTACAAGCCGAAGAAATAAAAAAGTTCCCTTGTTATATCTGTTACATCCGCGTAGAAAAAGTATACTGTATAACTCACACGGAATGCTAATGTCCCTATCATTCTGTGCACGTTGACCAATATACTATTTCAATATTGACGTGTAATTCGACACTTTACGTAACCAGTTGCTTGTTTAATAATCTTTTTGTTTTCATCTCTTGGAGCTGATATGAAATGTTCATTTCGGTCATGTTCCGATATTGCTAACATTACTGGCCACTAGGAGTGATAGTAGCGATAGTGATTACCGATAATCACAATGTATCGATATTATCGATATTATCAAAATCGTCGAGATTATCGAAAGTATCGATATTATCGATCGGTTGATTTGCAAAAATGTGCATTGCATTTCTTTGAGTACTTCAATATCTTACACTCTTAAATTTTTATTCACATGCAACTACAATAGGTAGAAATTCGGAATTTGTGAACTATAGGAAACTATAAGTAAATGAATTCTAAAATTATTTAATTTCCAAACACAATCTGGTGTGCAATTTTCTTATCGAATACCGCACGAGGTTAAATTATTTCCCGGAAACTTTTTCGGGCTCATGTATAATTTGAAACTTATTCCAAGTCGAATACAAGGGATAATTTTCAAAATATTCATGAGCGAAATAATTTAACCCCTAGTGTTTTGACAAGGAGAAATTCCACGATCCATATTATATCCAATAAATATGAAAAAGTTGCTAATATATTGGACTCGAACCGAATCCGAGGAATATTTTTTGACGTATCGCCCCAAAGTCCGACACTTGACTCCATCCATAGTGACCGTCCTATCGGTTACTGATGTAGTGTCATTTGTGGACTTCTGCCAAAATCGAGGGGGAAAACGAGCAGATGAAAAGTCGACGGGACTTTGTCAGTGTGCTGGGAAATGTGAGACCGCTTTTCCTCTATTTATCACCGAGATTGCATTACAGCACGAAATACTTTCATCTGGGAAGGCTCTCGAACCGTAATCTCCGTTTTTATGGTAGGAAATCTTGTCAAATTTATAATAAGTATTCGAAAAAAATACATGTTGAAATCGATCTAATACTTCTCAAAGTATGAGCTATAGTCATCCATTTCGCAGAATTTCATAACCCAATCAAAAATAAAGTACTGTTACATGAAACATATTGGGCAAACACGTCAAAGCAATGGCGCACGATTCAGAGAACATAACAATTATTGGTCACTTCATATACAGGGTGTTTCAGATGTTATCGGGAAAATTGGAAAGGCGATAGTACTCGCAAAAATAAAACGACAGGACTTTGTCATTGTGCTGGGAAATGAGAGCTACTGCTTTTCCTTTTATTTATCACCGATATTGCGAATGTCTTTTATCTCAGAAGGCTCTTGGATCGTAATCTCCGCTTTCATGGTAGAAAATCTTGTCAAAGTTGATTAAATGTCTGGAAAAATTGATGTGGAAATCGATCTTATAATACTATTCAGTTGAGTTGAAGTCAATCAATTCTGCCAATTCAACTAATTTCCATTTCGCAGAATTCCATATCCAGTCAAATATGAATTACTGTTACATGAAACGTGTTGGGCAAAGACGTCAAAGCGTTGGCGCATGATTCAGAGAACATAACAATTATTGGTCACTTCATATACAAGGTGTTTCATATTTTGATCGGGAAAATTGGAAAGGCGTGACTTTGTCATTGTGCTGGGAAATAAGAGCTACCGCTTTTCCTCTATTTATCACCGAGATTGCATTACAGCACGAAATACTTTTATCTGGGAAGGCTCTTGTACCGTAATCTCCGTTTTTATGGTAGGAAATTTTGTCAAACTAATAATAAGTATTCGGAAAAAAATCATGTTGAAATCGATCTAATACTTTTCAAAGACTGAGTTATAGTCAATTAATTTTGTCAATAAAACGAATTTACATTTCCCTGAATGTCATTACTCAATCAAATATGAATTACTGTTATATGAAACATTTTGGGCAAACACGTCTAAGCATTGGTGCACGATTCAGAGAACATAATAATTATTGGTCACCTCATATACAGGGTGTTTCAGATCTTGACCCGGAAAATTGGAAAGACGATAGTACTCGGAAAAATAAAACGACCGGACTTTGTCAGTGTACGAAGAATTGTCAGCTACCGCTAGTTTTTTCTCTATTTATCCCTGAGATTGCATTACAACACGAAAGACTCTGATCTGGGAAGCTTGTTGGACCGTAATCTCCGTTTTTATGGTAGAAAACCTTGTCAAAGTTCATAAAATGTCTGAGAAAATTAATATCAAATTCGATCTTTTACTATTCAAAGTCTGAGTTAAAGTCGAATTTCATAACATAATCAAATATAAAGTACTGTAACATGAAACATATTGGACTAACACGTCATAGCATTGGTGCACGATTCAAAGAACATAATAGTTATTGCTCATGCTTATATGCAACGGAGAATCGAAATAAACTTTATGTTTTTCATCTTAGTTTCCAAGAAGAATGGTTGTTGACGTTAGAAATATCCTTCGCCTGCTTTATGATCACCCTGTATAAGTTTTCATAATGGTAAAGTTCGGTATAGTCAGTGACTGACTAACAAACTCTCGAAATCTGCGAATTTGACTCATTATGACTATCGACTTATCTCAACATCAGATGTCTTGAATGAACCTATATTAGAATATGGATTCATATCATATCTTCAATATGGTTCTTGAAAAATAAGCAAGATACGTGAAAACTCATGAAACAAGGTAGTTGTATCTTCATTGTTAAATCGAATGAAGATATTATGAAAGTCAGGAAAAAAACAATGGAGCATAATCAATAGTTATGCTAAAATATATAAAAATTAAAAGTGTCACTCCATCCAACATTCAGCCATCAACTCACAGTTTTCCATTGTCTTCAATTCAGTTTGATTGATCTATGATCAAGCAATTCTTGTTTACCTACAAAAGCAAAATTATGGTAAAAATAAATTACATGACTATGCCGATCTTAATCGGATTTCCTGAAAACTTCCCTTTGTGTACGAAAAATTCATTCAGTAATTCCTAAAAGTTTTAGTATTCCTGATTCTTAATTGAATTTCCTGTTCGTCTGCGAAGATAACTCTGCTTTTTCATCATTTCTTGAGCACAAAAGAAATGAAAGAACGAAAAATTGTCGTGCTGATCTCATTGTTGTGAATTACAAGGAGCCCGCAATACGAATTACACCCATCTTTCTGTTCCTTTTTCGGGAAAAGTTCCAGGAATATATTTCATTCCATCACGATAAACGTGACCCATCAGCGTTTACAAAAATATGGCCTCTTGTCAACCTGACGAGTATACACCTCGGTATACACTGATGATGGCTGCTATGATATTTTGAATAAACTGTTCTGCACGAAATACAAGATTTGTTCAATTATTTTCATTCATAACTTTGAAACGGCTCATGAGATGTTGCTCAAATTTGGTACGTTGGCATAGCTTTATTGGGCAATAAAACCCATATCATAATAATGATAAATATCTTTCCATTGGCGTAGAACTTGATTTTTTCAGTAAATGAACATCCAAAACTTCTACGCAAATGGAAAGAAAGGGGTTTGAATATAAAATTCGGATTACTTAACTATAGACATATTTTCGTTAAAGGTGAGGTTAAAGGTCAAGTGTCTTCAAATTGTAAGTCATACTTCCACCAGGGTAAGGTAAAGTGCTCATTATGACCCATTTTCCATTTCATAGAGCCAAAATGAGTTTACAGCAATATACAGGGTGTCCCTATAAGGTCTTCAAAATAACCTACCTACCTATCACATATACCTCAGACTAAAACCATCTGATTTGAGAAAGTCACTTCAGTATGAAGTGCTCAGTTAGTGCGTTGACCGTCTCTGAGTTACAATTCCATAGGCATAAAAGACTTTTTCAGTAGATGAACATCTGAAATATCTACACCAATGGAAAGGAAGGATTCGTGTATGAAATTTGGAATGCTACTACAAATATGACACTCTTGAGAAATTTCGTTACCCCCATAGATTCCACAAAAATTTTATTGAAGTAATTTAGAGCAATATGTAAACGTTCCAAAACGATTCAGCGCTTAGAAATATACTTGTTTGTTCTATATTTTTCTCTTTTCGTTTGCAGCGGTATCGAAAGAGGAGGCGGAAGAGCACAACAACCACCATCAACACCATGGGGGGAAGCTGCCCTACAATGGCTACAGTGACGAGTTCCTAGACCGACTAGAACCCAACGGTAACATACCGGCAGGGAAAGGTGATATTAGATATGGTGAGTACCTATTTTCTCTAACATTCCTAGGACGCATGGTCAATGTATAGTTACAAGTATGACAGCCATTGTCGTTTTAAATAGCCTCTGAGGCTCTACCCGATACTTGACCAGATAATTGAATCGGATATGAAACAGAACCACTCCAGGAGATCAGTCGATGAGAACACACAGGTCAGAGTATAAGAATAACAACAGCTTTATTGAAAACGAATGTGGGTACTATCATAGATATTCAAATCGACGACCCAACTGGATAAATCTCTTTCAGCCACCACTCGTACACCCGTATATTTATTTCTCTAAGGGGTTCGTCGAGCGTCGATCTTACTCTATCGCAGCCCGATTGATAATGCCCTCCTTCGTTTCCTCAATCAGTTTTTCTTGTGTCAACTGCTGACTCTTTAGTTCTTCGTCAAAGTAGCCCAAAGTTGATGAACTTATTAATTAGAGGAATATTGTTGGTTATTTGGAAACGTTGAACTTTAGGTATTGCTGATATAAATCGATTATGAAATAAAAGGTTGATAGACGAATGTGGAGAATGTAGATCGGGCATAAGCAATAATAATAGTTATAATAATAAATTCTCAAGTCACAGTTGACAATATACACGAAGGTCGGAAGGATATCATTATTACCCAGGGACCAAGATTATATTCCGAGGCGCCTCTGTAGTGTTGCGTAGTTTAGTTCTGTGAAATCGAAATATTGTCACTATGAAAACACTTCTTTTGAAACCTATATCTAGTAGCCATGTCATGACATGACAGCATATTACAAGTCGTTGTTGATAAATGCCTACTACATTTGAGTGTCATCCCTGCGAATCTCGCATCAGAACAGTGAATTGATAGAACAGAGGATACTATGTCTTAATTGAAGAGTAGTTCATAGAATAGGGAAAACTAATTTGGTAGAAAAAAGGAAGTAAATATTGGTAGGTTCTATAGCGGTGGAAAAAAATATTGTCTGTTCGTTGGAAAAAATATGCGAAAATCTCCCTTCTCGACGATATTTTCAGTAAGCCAGTGACCTCGTTTTCGAACTTGGTTATTCAGCTAGTCATTCATCTGTTATCCAACCATATAGACATTTTTTCGTATCCCTGTCAAGATTCGCCTTTTTATCAAGATTTTGAAAATCATTTTTCATGTTGAAACATATTATAAAGTTTGACGAAAAAAAAACAGATTATACATGTAACCTTTCAGAAATGTCACAGCAACGTCCGTTGTGATAATTGCTACAACATTGCATCAACATAGCTTCCAACTTTGCTTCGGAAACTCTTCAGTTCTGTGATGGAACTTTACTGATTGCACCTTGGTTTACTGAAATAATGGCATGTAAGCAAATAATAGAAGGTACGAACTGATTATTCACCTTCATATTGTCGATAACTTTCTCTCTCTAAAAATCTCAGCTATATTGAAAGTTTGTCAAGTCAGAAACAAAATATTAATGTGCAACTAAGACTAAGATATTATAAAATTCAAAACAAAACAAATCAAGAATCTCTCATAACAGAAAAAGTTCAATACATTGTATACTTTGAGACAATCCTAATCCACAAATCGATTGTATTTCAGTTTATGTTAGCTGAAAATTGCATAGGTATATATTTATTTTTTTATGAAAATATCCTATATGGATCCTGATTATTCCAGAAGCAATTCAAAAAAACACATCAATGAACGAAGGATCTTTCGCTTCCACAACAATAAAAAATTGGGGCGACCTCAAACTATTTGAAAAATCATCATCACACTTGCAGATATCATCCTGTATATATAGGGTGATAAAGTTCATGGAAAAATCGAATGTATATATGCAGAACACGTTTCTGTCTAGATATTTTTCAAAGAAACCAATATCAGAAGAACCGAGATTAATACTGAATGATTTATGGACGGCAAAGGAATTTCATCCTCAGAATATATTGTACTTAGTTTTTATGAATCCTATATATATTTATCGGTTCTTCGATATTTCCTCTATTCTGTATGCGAAATTGCATTCTGATGGAAGAATTCCTAGAGCGTAAATCTATTGAAATTTTCGATATACAAAGCATCTCTTATTTCCAATCTTGCCAGACCCCACTTGTGGAAACGGACATACAGGGCGATGTAATATGCCCGTTCCTTTTCCGCGCTTGACAAAAAATTTACTTACATTTTCCTACATGGATTTCCAATTGTACTTTTTCATGGCATATCATCAACTATAAGCACAATCAAAGTCAGTCTACTTTGGGTGTCTCAAAAAGAGATGAAACATTGGAAAGTTATTTTCGAAAATGCATTCATTTTTTCCATGAAAAAGACTCTGTCACTGAGATGTTTCAAAGAGCAAAACGGGAAAAATGTTGACATTTTAATTTAAATCTCAGTAAGCGAAGTGGCTCTTTTCTGTCACTCGGCTGTATATACTTTTTTCTGCAAAAGTGACACATTTGATCCTTATGAAACAATGTACTATTATGTTATAGAACTTGAAAGACTTTTACGTTCTAGAACAGAAATGTTAAACAGTTGGTCATATTTTGGGATCTTATCAACGAATTCATAAATTGATTACTCAACATACGAGTATGTATACATTAGTTTCAACATATAATAATAATAAAATGTTATCGGAGACTAAGATAATTCTACAGTTCTCAGATGGTTGCTGGTTTTCAATTTTCCATTATTTTCCTTTTCAAGTTTTCACTCTTTGGTTTTTATTTTCGAACAACTCTTTATTATGCCTGTCCCTTCCTTATTCATCTACTCTACTCTTCTGGAAATTCACAAGAATAAAAGAACTTTGTGTGCCAACTCCGATTTTCATGAGTACCAAACTTGTGGGGCAAACGACTTGAGGCCTCCCCGATATAGGCTCAACAAGTCCCGAATGAATTCATTGAATATCGGAATCTATAATTTCCTGCCTCAATAGTTCAAGATTCTCAATTATAACTGCTTCAAATTGAAACTGAAGAGACACATGCTATTGATGAATATCTGAGAACACCCCCACTTCTCGATAATTTGTGTTGATTACAATTCGAAAACAGCAAAATTTATATTTTAGATTTGTTAGATTCGTGAGAATGTTGTATGTATGTTTGTGATAGCTTAGGTGTATATTTTATTTTATTCTGTAATTGTTTTTGAAAAACATTTTGTACTTCCAGTGACTTGCCAAAAACATATGAATTGTAACTTGGTCAAATAAAATTCTATTCTTTTCTATTCTATATATTTCAATGTCACAGATGTCAATTTTGGGAAAGTCAGATAATTATCCACAAAATTTCACTTGAAATGACAAATAATACTAATGACAAATAATACTTGAATATTCATTCCTTCATGCCCCACAAAAAAAGTGTCACTTCGCAATTTGTTATCAATCAATCAGGATGTCTATTTTGACGTTTGTAGAAAAAATTATTCTAAATGTGTTCCGATTCAGTTTGAGCCATCAATGTTTTTTCAAGAATGTAGAGAAATTAATTCCTTTTATAATATCTAGATTTGGTACACATTTTCGAATTCTGAAAAAATGACTGTGGAGGGAACTCAAAATATGAAGATTTTACCCAAATTACCTATAGATGAAATCTGTCATCTGTCTGAACTTCAGGGTATTTTATTTAAAAATTCGAATATCATTATGCTATTATTTTTTTTTCAATACTGATTTCAGTTCAATTTGCATAATGAATGTAATCTGTTGACCCATATGTACCGACAAAATTAATACACATTGAAATCAAAATGACTATGCACCTTCATGTTCTACTTCAAATATCTCGAGAAATATCGACTTCATCGCATTGAAAGAAGAGTACATTTATAGCATTGGAGAATCGAGAAATTGTGATAAAATTGCAATTCCGCCGAGAATTCCGCCAGTGGAGTAGAATCACAGTAGAATTCGGGAAGGATAAACCAGTCACTCAAATATGGCAATAATATACATCAAATAGTTTCAAACTACTGAGCATACATAATTTTCAAATAAAACGTTCTGTACTAGGACAGGAGTCACATTTCACCCAGGTGATTTGGATCAAATCTTTATAATTTAAGCGCAGGATTCTATATATAAGGTGTTTATGAAATAAGTGCACATATATTCAGCACAATGATATGATACAGTCGAAGGAATATTCCCATGATATCAGATTTTTATAATTCTTCTTATTAGCGAGAAATTTTTAGGCAAATAATGAACAAAATAAAGGAAAAAAAAATCAAGTACGCCACTTTAAAACAATTGAAATTATTGAACTCCGCGTAATTGTGCCTACCGCATGGAAATTTGAACAGGGGTGACGTCAGATTTACTACAGTGTAGAACTTTGTGTGGGAACAAGGGGTGTAACCTCAAATTTTATTTTGAGCCCTGAATTTTTTTATTAGTGCCATTCGATAGTACACGTCGAGCTTTCTCAGTGTTTGAAATATTTGCACTTCTTTCAATGCCACCCTGTATAGTCGAAATGTTTCCAATTAGTAATGAAACACTCTGTACAAGGCTGTTTTCTATGTAAATAAGACATCCGCCCTTTATTCAGACGTGTGGAAATATCTCCCTACGGATATATGGAAGTACGTCTCCGGAATTCTCTGGAGTCAGAATCCAGGATGCCATCCCAGCTTGGCCTCCGGGCATCAAATATAGAAGGGCATCAGAGCGCCTGAATTGGCATCGAGACTGTTTTGATTGAAAAAGAGTTCTTAGGCGCAGAAAAAATAAAAAAATTGGTCCAAGAAGGTATGATCATATGAATGAGGCATCAAATATCCAAGAATGTGGTTCTTTTTCACTGTCAAATTGAAAAAAAGCATCATTTAAGGACTGAATGAACATATTTACTATTATAATGAGAAATGGCTCGAACAAAATGTGTCGTTTTCCAAGATATGGTTGTTATAAGTGTTTTGCAACTGCAGTTGTTTTGATCAAATATTTTATAGGAAAAAAAGTGTTTATTTTGACGG